ATATGATATACCGAGACGGTGTTCCTTCTTAGGATCGCTTGTTCTTCGATCAACAGAGCAAATTCAGATCACCACATTTGCAGCATTGTCGTATAACAGGCGGCTATAGCTTCACATACTAGCATCCCTCAACCGATATGACTCCACACCAGCTCCCGCATTGTTGCGTGACTGTCGCACCGTTTCAAAGGGACGATTTGTGGATCTGTCAGATCGACACGAAGATCTTGCGCTACCAGGATCTGACGCTGATCTCGGACTTAGCCTAGGCTGGCGCGCGCGACTGATGCAAAGGTCCTCGCCAATGTCCGCTCTGATTGGCTCATTAATCTGCCCAAGCGAAGTGACAAATTCGGAGTACAGATAGAAGTCGTTTTGGTCAAAGTTCTTTGAGACTGCTTAACAATCTAAGGGACAACAAACTACTTTGGAGTTAGCAAGATAGCGGTAGATCAGTGAGATCGTGACACACGGACTGTGTGCCATAGCTTATGCTTCGTGATCCTGACGCCAAACCAACCTAGCTTAAGTCGAAAGACTGGGCCACCGGCGTTATGGATGCACTACATGACAAATGCGGCAAAAAAATCGCATAGACGCCATTTCACGAACTTGACGTAATTGAAACGAGACACTAGTCAAAAAGAAGTACCATAGACGAGTTTGTCGTGGACGAGTGGGACTTTCATTTTCAGCCTACAGTCGGGCTAGCGTCCTGCAATTTCGGATAATGGCAGGCACTCCTACGGCTTCAGTAAATTGGGAAATGCGAAACCTATCATTCGCGGTAAGGCATATTTCGGTCGAAAGCCACCATAATCTCCGGCGAATGGCCGTTGACATGGTGGGTCCTAATGGAGATGTGTACAAGTACGATCTTCGGGTTCGGGAAGACGGAATAGTATGACCATGCAACTATAGTCATGAATCTACTCAACTTCTCCGGTCTGGTGTATCGAATATACTGGATGTTTCTTGTCTAGGTGTTACAAGTACTTCGTAGACGCACTGCGTGGATGATGGTATTTGCTGATTCATGTTCTGACTGGCTACATGGACAACCCCGTAATTCCTTCATGATAGCACACACTTTCTCTTCAAAGTTGCGGTATATAATGGCTGGCTGCCTGGAGAGGTTGCTGGTTGGATTGGACCGGCGCTTGTTGATTGGTCGACGAAAGCGTATTCGGTATTGGATAGTTTGGGAGCGAGTTGGTACCAAACGAACCCATCTGCCCGTTATGGGCCGGCCATAGCACATCAGAAGCAGATAAGCCAGCAAATGCAAACTTGTTTTTTTCTGCCTCTATCTTCTTGTCGAGCTGGCTCTGCGCAGAACGGAAATTGCCGCTGACCTCCAGTAGTATGGGCAGCAGATTATCGCCGGTGGTGCAACAAGCCTGTGCAAATTCGAGTTGCTGTTTCAGACTGGATATTTGAACCTCAAGTGTTTGAAACTTGCCCAGATTCTGGTCATTGGTGTCACTCAGCTGACGAATCTTTGCCGTGGCTTGGGCGTTGTCGGCTTCGAGTCGTTGTATGGATCCTAAGAGCTCGTCCCGCTCTCTATCAGCGTCCTTAAAACCCTGCAAGCATCGTCGATGAACAATCTTCCAGTGCTTTTGTTTCGGTGTCTTTGCTATTGGCGAAGAGATCTAGATTCCACATTCGGGCTGAGTATACATGCATTCAGGGGACAGTGATGGCAGGACGTACCAATGGTGTATGAAGGTTTGCGTTTTGAGTGCCAGACAAAGGGTCATCATGACCGGCGGTAGGTGGACGTCGACTGCGTTTGGGAGCAACATCTGGCTCGGAACTGCCCTGACCAGTGCCGGTGGGAGCTTGGGTTGCCGTTCTGCGGGAAGGCATATCGATGTCAACACTCTGGAATGGATTTCTTCGCAAGAAGGAGTGACTCTTTGTTCAAGTTTGACCGTTCGGGGGGCAATGTGAGCTTTTATAGGTCTCCGGCGTACAAGCCGGTAGCCAAAACAGTTCGGAATGAGTTAGCAACAGCCGTTCAATGTGTGCTGCGGGATTGTGAGGTTGACCGTTCGAATGCCCAGTCATTGGTCCATGTTGAGACAAACGGCCCGCAATAACGGTTATCCTGTAATTTCACGATATGGTTACATTTGAGGGCGAAGATCGACCGTTCGTTCTTCATTTCACGCTCTCCGGGGACTGTTAACCATCACTTAACCATCACTTAACCGGTAGGTACCTCAATGGTGATCGCGTTCCGTCACGTATGATTCTGCGGTTAGGCGTTGAACATTTTTGGGACGAAGTACGCATCCTCAATAGACATAATCCTCGAAATTTGACCCCGGGCTCATTTATACGGCCCAAGCTTTGCCAGGCCCATACAATTTCGCCAAGTGCCGGCTCTCGCTACCCGCGTATGTTACTCATCTACCTTGTCTTATTGCTTACATCTTTAATCTTCCATCCTATGTCTCATTGGCGGACCATTCCGTTAGCGGTCTCGGGGCATGTTGAGCCGCGCGGAACTAAAGTTCCATTTGAAACATAAACAGAGCATTAGTCAATTTTCTGAATTGAGTTTGAGACATAGACCGGTTTAGACATGTTCCAGGGACGGTATACTTTCGGTCGTACTCGTCGCCGCTAATTGCTCGAAACTGTATCATGACACAGCTTATCTTGCCGAGCAGGAACCGGTAGGTAACATATATTATTCATTTTTAAATCACCTCTCCTAAGTTACTTTTCCATAATGGTATATTAAGCTGAAGCTGTCCATCAATGATCTCCAATCTACAGTATGATACACGCCGTAAGTAATTTGCGGCAACAGTAGTGGACCATTCGCAGATCCACGTTCGTAAAAAGACTAGGCTCTGGGCGATCAGTGGAGATTAGTCGGGGCGCCGATTCGTGGATCCTCAAAGACTACCCCACCCTCCAGTCGAACGCGACTCAATAGTGCAGCCACACAACCAGATATCGAGTATTATGCTACCATCGCGTATCCCTGTCGCATAATTTCCGTTATCCCGTTATTAGAAGTCATAAGCCAGAGTACGCGATTCGGCGGTCTCGACCTCTGGCACGCGTTAAGTCAGTCACACACGGCACTGGCCCAGTTGAGCTTCCCTAACGGGTTTAGACTTCTTTCTGTCATCTCAAATGCCGCAGTTCCCTTCATCTCCATCTTGCAGTACTCGCTTGCTGTCAACGAGGAATACTGTCAGCCTGGCGTGCATACAGAAGTTTGTCCTGGTCAATGAATATGTGGTATGATTCGGTTTGAACATCATCTTACTCCCTGCCCAAGGTCGACGGTTAACAATTACTCCTATCAACCAGATCACTATGCTTGCAACAGCACCGTCCACTGCGGTCCTCCAATCTTGACCTTGCTGAAAGCAGATCTCAATTGACGGTACGCTTGCTCCAACTGGTTCATAGTTGGAATGCCCTTGTACTATGAACCCATTTCCCATGCCTGTTTGCTTGTGCTCCACTGATGAACTCCGAGAGATCAGGGTTATCCAATTCACCGGGCAATCGTCTTGTGGGATGGAGGACTGGAGCCACAGACTCCACGCATTGGACGACAGATAACTACGATTTACTATTCCGATCTTCGCTGTTTTCGTTCAAGCCGAGACGTGGTTTGATGCAATACATACGCAGGCCTTAGGTCGGAAGAGCACGAGAAGGTTTATATGATCCCCAGTGGCAGTACATAAGGCACTGGGTCAGGTTGTGCATTGCACAAATGTTCTCGGGCTCTCGCAGTCGTCGTTTCAAAATTGGACCGGTTAACCATATACGGTCAAGAGAGCTGAAACGGACCGTTCATGGCCTGCGAGAAGTGAGTCTATTGGAAGTCCAATTCTCTACCTGGAGGCTGGCTACTGATGTAGAGCTATAAATACGTGCACAATATCCTCAGTTGCTCGAACAAGCTTCCTGCTACTTGCATCAAGCCCATCCGCTGGTTACTCAGTACCTATCTTGTACTTGACAGAATGGATTCCTCGGTAGGCAAATAAACCCCTTTCTGAAGCCGCGTCTAATTCCAAGATAGGAATATCTCCGAATTCTCGCGAGGCTCGACATTCGAGCAGTCCGGGCAGAACGAGCCCAGTCCAAACTTGAACAGGAATTAAGCGCTTCCAAGGCTGCCGAGAAGCAGGCGACTGAGGAGTTGGAGCATGTATCCAGACTAGCGGATATCTTCTTTGAACTCAGCCAGAAACTAGGAGGCGTGGTGGATCATTGGCTGAAGGAGCGCGGTGCCAACCAATCCGGCCAAGAGCCGGAGTCAACAAAGGTAATGCTTGATGTGCTGTTGAAGCAATTGGAAGCACAGGAGTTGGGCAATAGCGGTGAGAATTCCGGTGGTGACTCGGAAAGTGGCAGCGAGAAGGCTGCGGAACAGTGCAGCTAAGTCATGGCTTAACGATGGTTCACCGGGCATCGTCTCTTGATCATGTACATTGGTCTCTGTGTGCGGAGTGACCAAGATTGTTTACAGCTTGTTCGTGCAGAACGGTTATCATTACATGTATATATTAGATTCAGTTTGCTATGGTACTTGAAATGGGTTTGTCTCTACGTTGGCACATATATATGCTGTCATCTCCTTAATTCGGTTTACAGCACTTCTTCCCTTAAGAGAGTCACATTTACATTTCAGTTTGTTCTGATTATGGAAACTCAACTGATTTTCTGTCGTGCCCAGAAGATGACGCGGAAGCTTCAACATATTCTGGGAGACGATTTTTCCCAGTCTAGCATCGCCAACTCGCTACCCCGTGCTGAATCTACTTCTGATTCCCTTGAAGCTGCATTTGAATGGGACCGCATTCGACGATCGGCAGCTCCATCGCCAGAGTTACTATCTAAGGAGTTCCAGAGACAGAAGACGCATCCAGACAGCCATGAGCTCGGTATGCAGTCCAATATGAACATTCTCTTCTTACATCAATACTAAATCAAATATAGTAAAGGGCTAGTAATGTGAAGGTGAAGTGGCTGCTCCTCAATAAGCCAGCAAACCGGGCCGCCGTTGGTGTGAATCAGGGATCCAGGTCAAAAAAAGCCGATAGGGGTCAGCAAAGAGGATCATTTCATGATTTGGTTTGGTTTATGGCTGGGGCGGCTGGCTGGAAAATAATGTATTTACAGGCAAGATGGTTGTAATGAAATTTTTGTGTGATCTCCAAGATCTCACGGAGCGACCAGCTGGCTCTCAGATTGCATCGAGAGTGTTTTTGTGTTCCTCATCGAAAGGTTGCCGTCACCTCCTTGCGGTTCATAAGAACCGATCGTCAGGATCTAGGCGTCGAAATGTACCCGTTGTGCCGATTTCGTAGGAGAGACTAGTTGGCCAGTGTTGTGCTAGCGAAACGGACCAGTGCCCATCCTTCTGGGTTTGAGTGGTTTCCTCCATTTGACTGGCTTGGGCATACAACCGATCCATCCATCTTTGGGCGCACTTTCTGGGTCGGGAGGAATGACGCCTGCATTCTGGACATAGCATGTACCTTGCAGCCTCTGAGAGTCTCGTTTTAGGTGGGTGACCGGTAGGGAGATCTTGGAACATCTTGAGGCATATCGCTCCATTTATCCGTGAATCCTTGGACACGGGATTTTGGCAACAGACTCCATTATCGTCAACCCATCGGCACCCCAAACGATGAGTGGGATCGCCAATAATTTGGCCGAGGATTGACTGAAGATAGTCAGAGCTCCAATCCATATTGGTGGACAGACAAGAGGATGTGAATTTAGGTACAACGCACACCAAAGAGAAGAAAGATTTGAAAACAGAGCAAGCGAGGAGGCTCGTAGATCTTCGAGGACACATCTTTTATATTAATAAAACGCTCAGTGGAACTCTCACGGACGGTCCAAGCGTCTAGTGAGACTGAAGAGCTCCAACGACTTTTGGTGTTCGTCTCTACGATCGGAGCTTCTACGCTGCACGTGCTGAACGCCTTTCATGTCTCCTAGGAAAGCGGTACTTGTTCCTAGGAACCCGAGGTTACCTGAGGACGTTTTACCGACCCGGATGTAGAGACCAATGTTGTGTAAGCATTCATGTAGCCAATAGGTGTGCACTTTTACCAACGGCTAAAGGCTGCTAGCTGCCTGGGAACGGAATTCTGGTTCCTGGGACTCATGTATGGGTTCCTGGGAGTCCCTGAGCTCCCAGGAATACCCATGCCCTTCCTGGGAGCACCCATCCGGTTTCCAGGAACACATATTCAGGTCCCAGGAGACGGAGTACTTCTGGGAGCTCAAACATCTGCCCTGCAAGCCAAGGACCTTTTGATTATTGCCACCCATGTCACTACACAATCTCATGCGTAACAAATTCTGGTAGCAGAGAAGGATTACTATAAATGCTCAGATTACTCTTTAGCAGTTTGTCTTTCAGTCGCCACCACCGCCTTGATACATTCCTCGCCTCTCACCCACGTACTACGCTCAAGATGTCAGACTCCCAGTGGCTTTGGGACCCCTTGACTATCTGTCAGATGGGGCCCCTTAGGGAAAATAAGACGTGCTGTGGCATTACCAAGAAAGGAGACGCTTGCCAGTTGATTGTGAAGAAAGAGACCCTGAAAGAAGGTCGGCACAAGTTG